CGCAATATGATGACAAATTACGAACCATTGAGATAACAGAATAACGGAATGAAATTATCTCTTTCGTTTTTCTATACCCATTCTGGAGACAAAACGGTATTGTCGTAGACAAGCTACGCAGTTGTTTTGATGTTTTTTTTATTTCAATTGTAAATTAGTTATTTTAATTGCATGTAACTTTCATTAACCTGGTATTTTCTCCTTATTTTACTTTGTCTAGGGGTGATTAAGAGCAACTACCAACCTTTTCTTTGTTTTGAAAGGGAGGTTACTAAATATTATCACCACTTGCTTTGGCAGAAGGTGATATTTTTTAGAGAAATTGTAATAAACAAATGGTATTTCTTGGTTTGCCAGATCGAATTTCTTTGTGTTTGCATGTTCATTCTTCCAGATTTTCCAACAATGTTCTTGAATTAATGTTAAAATCTTTATTATAAATAATCTAAAAAATTGCATATAAACAAATTTTTTAAACATCATTACTTTGCTATTTCATTACGTTTCAAAAATTGAAATTACAGATAATGTATTTGCAGATATTTCTATTTCGTAAGACCGTTATCGTATGTATTTCATAGATTTCGTAGATCGTAAAACGTATCTATTTCGTAAGAACATTAACATCACAAAATTATTATTCTTAAGTCGTCTTAAAAACATGACAAGCATTCCAAAATTTTCGATTTCGAGATTTCATACTGGCATCCAAAGTGACCTGCAGCGCAACAATGCGTCATCCCAGTTTCCAGTTGATGCTTCTGTAAACCCAACCAGAAGAGAACATGAAATAACACAGGAATCTGCGCAACGTACCTACTTTAGCTTCACACAAATTAAGTTGGTACACGTAGGAATTAGTTTTGGTTAGATGAAACTCCTTGTGGCCGGAACAGAGCCCTAACAATCCGGCTACGGACCGCGCGCGATCTTTCCTTATTCTTCCTTGCCCTATCCTCACCCCCCCTTACACACACACACACACACACACACTCAGACACTACACTATCACACTTGTGAGGGGATCAACCAGATACTTATTAGTACTTGACTCAACTGGATCGGTGCGTGGCTGATGGGAGATACCTGGTAGGGGAAACCCCCGCAAGGCGACGTAGGTCCGCGCCGGATTTCGTCATCCAGCGGGAGAAGATCTCAACCACGTCCCGCAATAAAAACAACCACTACACTTGATTATAATGACTTTAGCCGTTAACGCGCCCGGAATCACTAATCAGTCAACCATTCAATGACAATCAAACCCTTAATCTGAGACCTGAAAAACAAGTCTTCGCCGCCGCATGCACTGCCGCGCATCTGCGGACGGCCCATGAAGTGGTGGTCTCGAGCGCGCGGCCCCGGCCTTGGGCCCGACGCCGGCTCCTCCGCGGAAACGCGTCCGGTTGTTCCCGGAAACAGGTCCGGGCTTTAATTCGCCGCCCTTGCCCTCGTCCCGGCCAGGTAGCCTTACGGAAAGAATGCAACAATTTGTGGTCGTTGTTATAAAATGTCTGGCAAAAGAATTATTTTTTTCGCTATGGTCATAAGTTTTCTTCGCGTTGCTATAATATCTCAAGGGCCCGAGGCTTCCACCACGAGTAAGGCGCTCAGACTGAAGTACTGAGTGTATCGCAATATTTATATTTTTCTTTCAAGAAGATTACATCTTAATTTTCAAACAACTTTTCTAGCAATCATAATAAGATGTTATCTATTAACCATTGAGGAAAAACAATGTCATTCATCGAAGATGTAATGAAGTAGAATTGGTTCATACTGTTCATTATTTACTGAATTTAAGTTCTCAAACTTCGGTGTCGGATATCAATAACTGAGCAAAGCTTCCCTCTTTTTTTACTATAAAAATGAACAACTTAATTCTTGAAATACTAAAAAGTCCTCACAGAAAAGGGAAAATAAAAGCTTACATGTGTTGTTGCAAACAATGTACCAAGCCTTCTAGTGAAGGCCATGTTCGGCTTATTAAATTAGCTTCAAAATATTTAATAATAACATGAACGTAACTATAATTCATAAGTATTCGGTAACTGATAAAAGTATATTTCAAGTAGGAAAAAACTAGACAAAATGTACTAAGTACATTGCATCTTGAATACATGAGATTTGTCAGCAAAATTTATAAGAAATCAATCGTATGAATGAAAACCGCCTTGCTTGCAAGGTAATTCTCCTGTCGTTTGCATAATCCAGCAATGAGAAACAGAGAACGAAAAAATATTTATGGGCACCTTTTTTTGAAATTCGACATGAGTTTTTCCTAGAAAAAAACGCACAATTCCTGAAAAGTTATTGAAATCGTACAAAGTGATTTCTGATTTTGAATGTACATTTGGAATATATCATAAAATACTAGTATATAATATATATTTGTTTACATTAAAAAGTCATTCCTCTGCAACTGTGCATTTCAATGCACTTGCTTTTATAGGAAGTCAATAGAAGACCGTTTCAATGCTGAAAGAGCACAAATCACCTTTATCTTCCATCCGTTTTAGAGTCAAAGCTTTTTGCCGCGTGTTTCCTTGGTTTCGCGGGAGCGGAGCGGAGAGGAGCAGCTGCTACCGCTAAACGACGAACGGCGCTTTCGATTTTATGGAAACGAATAGAGAAGAGGAAATCGGTTCTCGTAAACACAGCGCGCCCTTGGGGACGCACCCGCGACCGAGACCGGTAAACACGAGTGGCGGCGGCGGCGGCGGCGGCGGTTGAGGCGTAGGCGGGCGCGGGGGCAGAGGAGCAGTGGAGATGGCGGCACCCGTCTTGGCGACAAGGCAGCTTCGGTGGCGCCGACGTCGAGGGCGGCGTCGGTAGTGGTGGAGGTGGCAGTGATTGCGGCGACAGTTTGGGT